TAAGACATAGTGTGGACATTATTTCCTCAAGCTACAAGTCCATATTTTGACTCCATTTCTAAAAGCTGTAATATTTAGGAGAGTCAAAATAGGGATTTGTAGCTTGAGGAAATAATGTCAACACTATGTCTTAAACCTTAAGTTTATTTGTTTACTTTTTAGTGATTGCATTTTCACTTTAAGCTACCAATCTTGTTTCTGTATTTTTTTAAAAGATCCCTACTCCCCTTTTTAAATTAACAACTTAATAATCTTGTTTCTTTAGTTTTTGCATGTCCATTATAGACATAATTCTGTATAATAGCAATACTGTCCTATTTGAATGAGTTTAGTTTAATGTAATACATAATTGGTGTATGATGCTCTCTCAGGAAACAATGACAACCTTGGATTGGCTTCATGTAGATTGGATGGCTATTGCTCCTGATATCATTGCCACAATGTTATCATTGATAGTGGTACTGCATGTATGATTACTATGATGCATAATGATCAACATACCACATGTTATGTATATACTTTTAATTTTACATAGCTATTATATTTATACTCTGTAGCTATATGGGGAGTCTATAAACACTGGATTGGAGTTAACTACTCAACTATACTGAAATGGTTCATGGACTGAATTTTGTAACTGCATGAGTTTTATACATGCAGGCTTTATAGTTTTTGTTGTGTTTTAAGTTGTAAAACTGTATATATGAATTTTTCAAGTTGTACAGATGCATGTATATATATTCAGTGCAAATATAAGATAATGTGTCATGATATAATAACTTATGTATACATATAAGTATTTAAATATTTCTTATAGTTGTTATAGTTCTCCCTTCTACTTTCTCTTCCTCCTTTCCACTGGCCATAGTAAGGCCAGTCATAGTTTTACTGCAGCTGGCTAGATTTTTTCTTAGAGTGATATTCTGCATGCTTTGCAAGGTCAAAAATGTGTTAATTAACAATTATGAAATTATTATATTAATATACTTTTCTCCTCTCCATTTCTGATGGAGTTTGGGTCGTGACACTTCTACGAATGTCTTCCATTGTAACAACTTTAAACTCTGTTGGGCTGTTGCTGCTGCACATACTTTAACTGAAACTAGATATTTTCTAAAATTTCTGCCTCACTTTCACTTACAATTGCCATCTCCTGCTTGCACAATTCTTGGCACTCCTTATTTTAAGCTTCAAGGATGGCTATCTGCAGTATCTGTAAAACTTGCAATCACATAGTGTTGGCTATAATTTAACACTTACCATAAGCTGTCATCGTGATTGCTGATCTGATGCTCAAAACTGAGCTTTGTGCTATCTTTGAAACTACGACTTAAATATTTCTGTTGTGGGAGATATCCTAGATGTTTGTATAATGTTTTAGATGTTTTCGTAATGTGGCCAAAATCAATCATGTAGTGGTAAAAAAAAACTGTGGTCCTGTCAGCAAGAAAGGGCAAGAACCCTACACATAAACAAATCAGATGCAACATCTGTACAGTTGCAACAATAAGTTAATAATTGCTATGGTACATGTGTCATGCCTGCCATATAAACATTAAATAACATCCATGGCGTGCACACAGCTATATACGTATGCATGTAATAGTTTATGAGGCTCCATATAAATCACAGACTACATTACAATGACTGGGTGTCAACGGTTATATAGTTGCTGTTATTTGCTAGGTAGTCAAATAAACTTAAAACTACCCTTTACAATGTGTAATGATGTGTTTAGTAATATTGCCCAGGCTGGCAGAACAATATTAAATATTAACAAAGAACAAATAGGCAACCCTTATTATGAACCACTAACATGATTAGTGATTTAAACTGTACCATTATATGCACTATATATGTAGACAGTCCTATTTTTGGAAATTGACAAATTGTTTTATGTGTAATCGTAATAAAGGAATAAGGAATGTTTCAAGATTTTTCAGCATTTTTACAAACATAAAGAGAAAAATTAATATTGATAACCTCTCCACCCCTTCAAAATAACAGAAAGGAAGAAAAAAGATGACCATAAAGACAGTAATGTATCCCTGTTTTTTTATTGTTTAATAGCAGTTTTATGGATTAAGTTATTCTATTCATGTGAAAAATAATTATGACAAGAGTATGGTACTTCTGTCATCAGTATCCACATGTCCAGTGTTAACTATAACATAGGATTTGTGATATGTCAGCCCTGACTACGCCATAAAGATACACTGATTGCTCTGAGCAACCTCATCAAAGTTTTTGTTTTATTTGCACCTTCTTCAACTACTTGTAACAAATCAGAAACAACAGCATGAGAGCTGAGATCATCAGTGTCTGCACTATTCACTTTGTCCCATACTTCTTGCCTTACCATAGTACTGACTCCATGGGTGCTCAGAACACATCATTATATTTCATAAAATGATGTAGTCTACAACGGTTTGGTGAAAAGAATGCCTAACTGCTTTTTAAGTAAAGCAAAGTCTGAAATTTAAAAAAACTTAATCACTTTGTAATTGTCATTTAAGACACTGACTCTGTGGGTGCATTCATAGCTTGAG